AAACTCAAAACACAAACGCCATTGAGGTCGGCTCCTAGCATTATCAGCAAGTATATCCAGCCGAACGAGTTCTTCGTCTTTCGGACACCAACCTGGGAGCCGACAGACTCCAACTGAGGCCAACATCCAACTAAGGACTTTCATTCTTCTCGACCAATTCATCACTTGGCCACCTCTCCTTCCATCCACACCCCGGTGCGAAAACCGCACGTCGCGGGAGTCAGTGTGCTGCTATGCGCAACATGTGGTCTAGCCATCGGAACCTGGTGCGTGGAATAACAGTGCTGAGCGGCCCGTTTCCTCTTCCTGTGCCATAAACAATGCGTCGAACACGCTCGCTGCTCACACGGTGTTCCCACCATACATGAGCCAAACTACGAAGACACCGGTGGTTGAATGTAACTAGCTTCTTTATGTCTGGATATCTAATGGGCCACATTTCACAACTGTACAGTAGGGTGGAATGTACGATACGCACTGTAAACTCTACCCGGCCCGTAGCCTAAAGGTAACGAGCTTGTCTTTTAATCTGACGACACGGGTTCGAGCCTGCGTAGGTGCACGGAGACGCTTGCTGCATCCCTAGCCCGCGTGCGACCTGTGGTAGTTGCGCGGCAGCGAGGCGTCGGTACTGCGTACCAGCGTATTGCTGATGCCCCCTTCAGGGAGAGCGATGTCGCGCCGGCGCCATAAGTGGTGAAGGTTAACAAAGACGCCTCGAGCTTTGCTATACGGTCTGTGATCTGCTCTTCGATTCCATGGGCGCTGACACAACTTCCCAGGTAGTTGAATTTTTGTACGACTTCTAGCTAATCCCCACCAAGGGTAAGTGAAGGAGCCGGTCCATGCCAATCTAAGAGTAAAGCTTTGCACTTCGAGGGTGCGAAGCAAAGCCCGAAGTGACGGACAGGCAGTGCTAATCTGTCCAGTGCAGCTTGGCACATAAAGTTATCGTGGAGGATTGTCGTCGGGTCCAGGAGTCTTGTTTCGTTTCAACACGGAAACCTGTCGAATATCTTACAGTGGGAGGTGTAACATCTACTTCCCACGTCATTTCAGGTGATTCGGCAAGCGGTAATGTCGCAGCAAGCTTGCTTCACTGATCTTCAACATGTTCTGCCTGACGGGCTAGTCGTCAACGCTGAGAATGGATCAACTGTCCGTCTTTCTCAGCTATTGTTTGGCTAACTGATGGCTTTCTTAGATCCGCGTTCCGGATGAGTTGGAACAGCACTTGGTTATCTCCAATAGCACTGGCTTTCTCCATCTCACGGCCCCTTTCCATCCGCCAAACGTTTCCGGTCGCCTCGAAGACTTTGCTAGACGTCTTTTCGGGGATTTACGGACACGATGAGACTAATTGTTCACTGGGAGTTGTTCCCTTGCCTCTTACAAACTAATCGATGCCTCAGAGATCCATTCGCATTTTGGACGTTTCAAATAGAGTGCGCAGCATGGATCAGTGGCATTCTTTATGACACATTTGAGACGATCCAAGTGAGCGTTTGATACACCAACCTCATTCACTGTCAGTTAGTGGACTAGTTCGTCAAGCTATTGTTGAACAGCAGATTGCGAGTTCAAGTCCCGCGTAAAATACTCAGAAGTTAGCCGCTTCTTCGAAACGGGAAGAGTGATCGCTAAGCGCGTGCGCACTAGAGCGTGTTCAGAATCCAGGCACATGCTTCGAATTGACCGTCTTGGACTGATGTGCGCCATCTGTAGCTGATGCCCATATGGTCAATTTGGGTCCAGATCATTGAAGAATTCCGTGGGTGCCAGGTGACGCGGTAGGAACATTTGTGCTGGAAAGCAGTGCTGCTAAGGTAAAGGTTTTGGTCGGTGCACAGTTGCAGGAATCCATCACAATTGTCTGTTCGACTTGCATGGATTCCGAAGCAGCCTCTCAGGTGCTGTTCAGAGTTTGAAAGATGACCCACTTGGACATTCGTGTCACTAGCAACAATCAAGGTGTCAGTGATCTTCGCCATGCGAAGAAGCGATGAGAGCTGTTGATATATATTGTCTTTGATACCCTCTGAATTGCATTCCGTAGGGGCATAAACTGAGGCGATGAAAAGTCACCTTGTCTTCGGACAGTGCTTATTGACTACAACAGGGGCTCGAACTCGAACCGCACACATGCGACTGTTCACCGGCATCCAGTCGAATAGATGGTTTACTGCTTGTTTGCTGAGGGCGATGCCAACACCTTAAATACCTTAAACCATTGACTCAGTATTATTATAGCCACGAAGTGTGACCACTATCGTCAGATTCAGAACCAGGGAATAGAAAGTATGTCACGACACTGTTATGTTATATGCGTATTTCGGAAACACAGCACACATCAATACCAAGAGAGTGAAGGGTGATTTAGTACTGCCTGCCGGCCGATCTGATCTAGACTGTGGACGTTAAAACAACTAATGTGAAATGAAACTCTAGACTTGAGGGAAGAGCTACATGTATCGATGGCAGCAGCTGCAAGGTTAGCGACAGTCTCCTGCTTAATAGATGGGGAAGAGAGGGGAGAGGAGAGAAAATAAGAAGAGGTAGCATTGTCGACGTGCTCCAAATGGCAGATGTTACTCTCCGGCTGCCCATTACGAGATTAGGTTTTTGCTCGAGGTACCCTGCATCCAGCCTTTGGCTCAATAGCCACCCACAAAGCAGTGAGGAGCAAGTCCAGCTCGGGAATGTGATTGCGGAGACCCATATGGACCTACTTGAGACAAGTCACACACAGCGTTTGAAGATTTAGGACAATGCACTTTTGTTTTACTTCGTCGAGGTCGGGGCTGCATTGACCACATCTTCACTTTTCCTCAGTTGTTGGAGCACCGTCACATCTCTTGGCGGCCCACCGTTGTCGTGTTCCTCGATATCAAAGGTGCATTCGATTCGGTGGATCGATGTGCCCTTTGGGACTTGTTGGGACAAGAAGTTTTAAGTGGATCGTTTGTTCGTCCTCCGCTTGCCGTTTTTGGTAGGTCGTTGACTTCTGCATTTTAGTTGGGCTGCATGGCCTCAAGTAGTGTTCCTGATCAAAATGTTCTCTGGTGCTTCGCTCCGTCATATCGAGTGCCGCGGGTGCTATTGTGTCGGTCTCTGCAGGACTATGTGGACAGATTTTACTAAGGTTGCAAATTCCATCGAATTGCTGACAACTGATGGCTGTGCGCCTGCTGCCTTACGCCGAATTTCGGTTGGCAACCAGGTGCGAAACTACAATCAGCTACCCAATAGAATGTGTCATTCCATTGGAGCGCAACACCACTTTTATACGTCTTGGACTGCAGCCTCTGTAGTTAGTTGATGGAGTAATTCTTATCAACGATTTAACGATAGCATCGTCCAGAGAGAGTTCTTCGCGGATGCAGCACCACTGCTCTCTGTCATGTGTTTGCGTTTCGTTATCAGGAGAATCCTGTAGCTCCAGAACACCATAAATAAAGATAGTTTTCTTGTTTGAAAAGCACGGTAAGAAGACGAAAACTGGTAGATGCATGCATTTTGAAATGCATGCATCTACCAGTTTTCGTCTTCTTACCGTGCTTTTCAAATTTCTGAAGGGAACTAACAGTTTTCTTGTTGTCATTTTAAGGGGGTGTGACTTGGTTGTCCGTTTCTTTTGGGCGCCCTTTTTAAGGGAGTTACAAAGGCAAACTACTGAGAGTAGGACATACTTTGTCTCATCTCCTGATTTCAGTTACTAGAAGGACTCCAGGTTCAACATAGTGCACTGAAGTTTGGCGTCGCGCTACGCGTCTCAGCATAGTGGGTTTATCTCGAATACCAATCGCATCGCCGGTGAAACCACTAGTTGCGGTTATCCAGAAATTGACCACTTTTACTGGATTTGAACATTAATGCGCACGAGAGTTAACACTGGTTCTACCTAACGAATGTTGGTTTGAGAGTTATTGCGGACTGCTGCATTGGAGTTGCCGGTGAAAGCTGCACTGCACAGCTTGTGTTCGGTACAGCACAGGGTCTTACGGGTGCCATTCTCGGCATTTTTATCCAAGCGACCGATGTGGACGTTACCCGCTTTTCTCTACTGGATTTTCTCCGGCTCTGATATGTCCATTTTGTGACCGAACACTGATTTAGCTTCCAAGAAAAGAGGTAGCAGCGGTCACGTTATATGCGACTTGTCCGCTTAGAGAGGCAAGAATAACTTTAATCTTCGACCTAGGGACAGAGCTCAGGAGCTTCTGGGGAACAGGGTCGGTTTTTTCGATTCTAGTGGCAATACTCTAAGGCTCATCATCTGTTCAATTGTTTCAATCACTTTTTCTTGAACCCCATATACATTTGACAATTGGATTGACTCCACATACTTGGTATAACCACAGTGTATTAGTCGTATCGTTAAACACAAGCTATAAACCTACACCTTGCACAGTTACACACACATCCATGCACACATTCACTGTTATGGCAAGGATGTTGTATTCTTGTACATTTTTGTTCACACTGTTATCCTAACATCATCATGTCTGTAAAGGCGTGCCTCGCGTTGCCGTGAATAAAAATTTTATTTATTTATTCGTTTGTTTATTGATTCCAGTTGATTTACGCGAGTGTTCTTAGGTGAGATGCAGGAGCACAGTTACAGCAGTTCGGTCCTGTCCTGATCGCCCAGGCGCATTTTGATTTACAATATTTGCCGCTAAGTGGGATCGTATTCAGCGACGGCCGTTGTTATCCATGAGGTTGAGGATGAGTGATCTTCACGCCTGTTGTACAGTGGCGCGCTTGACTTCCGTTGTCATAAGCCGGTTTGTCACGGCAGGGACACACACACGCGGTTTGGCCGTTTTATCGATCGACGCTGGTTCGTGCCGGGTTGGACACTTTTACGTGGCATGTAGTGGGTGGATGTCAGCAATAGGCGTGTAATTGATGGCCGCAAATTGAGTCGTAGCTTCCTCTGGAACGGTCCCGTTGAAGTCATTCTGGGATCGCCGGACAGCGCAGCCAATCCTTTGTTGAACGCAATTTCGCTACTGTGAGAGCTGTTAAGAAAAAGCAAAGTTGCACACATGGGTGTGAGCACGAAACGTGCTAAAACAGTTTAAGTTACAGGAATCACGACCCTTTTCAGAACATTTTGAGTAGAGGCGCTCACTAAATACGGGAAGTCAATCCGAATCGAGTAAGTGCATGTTGACTACGCCGAGTGAAAATGTGGCGGATCAAATCCGTGAGAGAGACGAGCGCACTATCTACGCGATCGTTTCGGAGTGGCATTTCACATAGTACTAATGAGTAGTGAGGGTTTTTTGTTATAATGCAGCTAATTCATCATCGCCCACTCCCAATCAGCAGGATTAGGCTAATCTGGGAAAGCACCAGACGCCGGCGTTTCGACCTTTTGGGTCTCGTCAGTGGTGCGCCTCCCAGCGGAACCCTGCCGGATTCCTCCCCCATGACTTCTGGATGCCAGCAGCTATTGCCACTTCGCCATGGGTGACAGCCGTAGGCCTGCGTAATTGGCAGTTGACTATGATATAGCCCGGCTCATCTTCCACTGCCATGCCAGTTACGAACTGTGCAGAGGACAATGGTTAGCCTCACGAGCTAGGACTTTCCGCATAGCGCCAATGCACAGCAAAGGACTTAGAAGCGGAATCCGGCAGGGTTCCGCTGGGAGGCGCACCACTGACGAGACCCAAAAGGTCGAAACGCCGGCGTCTGGTGCTTTTTCAGATTAGCCTAATCCTGCTGATTGGGAGTGGGCGATGATGAATTAGCTGCATTATAACAAAAAATCCTCACTACTCATTAGTACTATAACATCTGTCCGTATAGCTTCTAAGTCCTTTGCTATGCATTGGCGCTATGCGGAAAGTCCCAGCTCGTGAGGCTAACCATTGTCCTCTGCACAGTTCGTAACTGGCATGGCAGTGGAAGATGAGCCGGGCTATATCATAGTCAACTGCCAATTACGCAGGCCTACGGCTGTCACCCATGGCGAAGTGGCAATAGCTGCTGGCATCCAGAAGTCATGGGGGAGGAATCCGGCAGGGTTCCGCTGGGAGGCGCACCACTGACGAGACCCAAAAGGTCGAAACGCCGGCGTCTGGTGGTTTCCCAGATTAGCCTAATCCTGCTGATTGGGAGTGGGCGATGATGAATTAGCTGCATTATTTCACATAGTATTGTAAAAGCCTTTAAAAGAGACCTAGTTAGATATTGACTTGGTTTTCTCCAAAGTTGTATGATTATTGAATCTTGTCGCTGAGATTTCATGATGCATGAATCATGAAAGCCTAGGGATTTCTTTTGTTCTCACTTCACTTTTTTGCTTTAGCAAGGGAAGCAAATCAGACATTGAAGTACGAGGGGCTCAGATTTGCTTGCTGGTGTAAGATATAGGACGCTCGTTTGGCCAAAGCCTAAATCGTTCTCTAGCGTGATCTGATCTGACTTGTCGCACGCATGTTCATGCCATCCGTTCATCTCCATCGGCAGCTGTGACATTGGCATCCAACTCGCCACGAGGTAGTAGACGCACTCGCCATCCAGCTCCATCTCTTACTAGGTAGTTATGATGAGGCTATCCAACAGCCTACGAAGTTTCTGTTTTTTGCATTTCAGCTCCCCAGATTCTTGACGACCTATATACGCATTGGACACGAAAATCCTCGCAATCCATAACCGTACATATAACACAGGAGCTCCTTCATTCCCCGCCGCAGTATGGGAGCGCCGACCCACGAAAGTAGACCAAAGCTACAGAAAACGAGCAAAAAGTGGGTACGACTTGCAACTGTATTGGTCTACGTCATATCTGTTTCGTTGGCAGCAATCATACTTGCGATATACTACAGCATGATTTGGAAACCCCGAATAAATGGATCACTTATGACTGCGATGCCTAAGTAGTCATTATCCACTACCTACTTCAATGATGATAAACTGTCAAAAATATTATTGGAACGCGCCGCACCAGTAATGTTAGTTGTCTTTGAATTCACACTGCATTTATTTGTTTGTCTCACATGTCATATGTTTGCCCACAATCCATCGTTATTTTTTGACACTGCTTTCCATATATTCATTTGAGTCCTACTTTGCCTTTTGAATTTTAAGTTTGATCTTAGGCTTGTTTGAGATGTAAATGGATATCTTTCATGCACGTAGCGGCAGGAGTAACGCTACTTGACAACGATAAATATAATTTGATCGAGGACATGATTACGCTCCTACTCCAGCTGGTTATGTGCGCTAGATGCTTTCATTCTGTGCAACAGCATTTGTGTCTCCACACTGAGCCCGCAGATGTTCCAGAGTAGAATAACCCTTGGATTGTGTGGTTGCGAAGGCATTGACAGTCGGTGTAGGCGAAAAAGCATCCGGATCTGTTAAGCCAACTTCGTTATTCGACCCGACCCTAGCCGATACGATTACCTCGCGAAAATTTGGGCATTGAACGATCTTTCTTACTTCCAGGAAATGCGACACTGGTTCTGTTGAGCATCTACCATCTGAACTCTGAACTACCGTTGTCATGATCAAAATGATGATCATTATCAAAAACCACAGTAGCAATACATCAGCTATTTGAACTTATGCTCTGCTGCCGTACAACCGTATTGGTCTAAGGAATAGAGAACACTAGTAGGTGAGAGAAGGGGTACCTAACGCTAAACCTAAATGCCCTATGCAAATATTCATCGCCAGGGTGTCTACATACATGGTCATAAACAGCTGGTTATCATATGGCGCAATCGGTGTTCGGATGCTATATCACTTCAGTTAAACAACGATTATCCGGGCACCGAAGTGCAGTGGATCCAGAATAAAGATAAACAGCAACGGCGAGAAAACGAGGTTGCATACAAATATAATGCGAAATAATGGAATCAAGGAGGAAATGCGTTGAACTAATCAGGACGGAACAAAAATCAATCGTTAAATGCAAGAAACCGATTACAGGAACGGCGCTAAATGCGCGACTGCGCCGTGTGTGATGCGGTCTCCAACCATTGGTGTGGACCATCCCGAGATCCCCATTCACGAATACGGCAAGCACTAGCCTGACGAAGTCCCAGTCAATTTCTTCAAACCTCTATGCCACGTCATGAACTCTACACCTCGTGGCAGACGGAGTGTTTGCTGAGCTTGGCAAGTTTGTTGCAAAAGTTGCATCACCAATGGAGGTACGTTGTTGAGTAGCGTGTAGCCAGTAGCATAGCGTAGGGAAGCCTTCATGAGAATGCGTCGGGTATAATGTGCGAGGGCTTATATAGGTTCCATGTTTGGTCGCGGCGAGGTACGATCCTATTGGCTGGGATGTTTACCCTTGTTCTGCTCGTTGGACAGATAGCTGATCTTTGACCTTTTACTCTCTGACTTTTGCATTATGACCTACGCCTGATTACTCGAGTGCTCAATTGCCTGGTGTTCTGTACCACCGGATTTAATCGACTGTGGTGGTGGTCCCTCGACCGTAGTGCGGCGTATACTGTATCCAGTTCAATGTATCGGTTAATTGAATTAGCTGTGGGGTGCCATGCTGTCAGAGATTCCCTCGCATATTTTGTACTCCTACGTGCTGAGTCCAAACAAAGTCACTCAGATTCTGTGGAAGGAAGAAAAAGAGGCACTCAGACTTCTGCAGAAAGAAGAAAATGTTGTAGTCCTACCAGCGGTTAATTGATGAGTGACAATGATAATGGATGAAATGGAGTACATGAGTAAGACCGAAGAACTGCTGTCAGACACAACTACATATCATCTGATCGACCAGGATCCCAGTTCAAAGCTGGTCAACCAGAAGTTTCTGTCAAGAAATAAGATCACTAGTCTAGAACGAAGGGCAATGAGAGCCGAAGATACAAACATCGCGCAATTCTATGAACTGCCCAACGTGCATAAAGCTGTTGTCTCCCTCCGATCAATCGTCTCATTTCTCGGAACCCCATCGTTTAAATTAGCAAGGAACTTAAGGAAGAGGATAAAACACCTGATTGCCGGATCCGGGCATAGCATCAACAATGCAGTACAATTCCTCAACAGGCTGCGGGTTGTCAACGTGGAAGATGACGAAATTGTGCTCTCATTTGACATTACTGTACTTTTCATTTCAATCAGTCACGAACTTTCTAAGTAAATCATGATGGAGCTACTTCAGAATCAATCATAACGACAACCATACAACCTGGGAGTTTACAGGAACTTTTGTACCTATGCATGACAACTTAGTTCTACTTTGAGGGACAAGTATACCAGCAGCTGAAAGACACGCCAATGGGATCCCCGATACCTGGACTTATTGCGGAAGTCCTGATGCAGAAAGTGGAGCGCACTGCGCTGCCATCCATCCGATGTTTGGATGACACATTTGTCTTCATAAAGCGAAACAGAGTACAGACGACGTACGAGTTGCTCAATAACATCTTCGATGATACCGAATTTACAATTGTATTAGGGAATGACAACAATTTGCCGTTTTTGGATGTACTAGTCAACAGGGACATTGACGGGACACTGCAAACATGCATATACCGGAAGAAAACGCATACAGATCAGATGTTAAACTACCACAGTAGCCACCTCATGAGCCACAAAAAGTGCTACGCTCTAAGCCTATTCAAAAGAGCGGAAAAATTCTGCAGTACAGTTGGATTGAGAAAGCTAGCGGCCACCTGTATCGAGTGTTTCAAGAGAATGGTTATCCGAAGAACTTCTTCAGAAGAAGCTTAAGGGAACGAACGCTACAGCAACAACAGCAGCTACTTGAGCAGACAAGCAAACGAATATGCTCCCGTACATCAAGAACATTAATGAACTGACAGAAGGTGATTACGGTCAAATGGAATTTCAGTGGCTCACAAATCAAGTGCCACCTTATGGAGAATAATTTCCAAGCCTAAGAATAAAGTCGATCAGAGCGACAAATATTATGTTACCTATCAAATAAAATGCAGCGAATGTGACAAGAACTACGCTGGACAAACTAAAGGAAGCTTCGTACACAAATCACGGAGCATAAAACCGCCATAATAAGACATGATCCGAATTCGCTGGTTTCCGCACATGAGGATGAAGAAGGCCACCAGTTCGATCTGGAAAATGTGAAGATTCTGGCGCGTGGGAGTACAAAATATGCGGCGGAATTTCTGAAAGCATGGCACTCCACAGCTAATTCAATTAACCGACACATTGAGCTGGGTGCAGCGTACACCGCACTACGGTCGAGGGACCACCACCACAATCGATTAAATCCTGTGGAACAGAACACCAGACAAACGGGGCGGACGACATAATTGAGTACTCGTGTAACCAGGCGAAGGTCACAGTGCAAAAGTCAGAGAGTAAAAGGTCAAAGATCAGCTATCTGTCCAACAAGCAGAACAAGGATAAACGTCCCGTCAGGCCGAGAAAGCCTCCAAAAAAGCTAACCAAAACCTTGGCCTTTTGCGGAGGGCATTCGGGCGCTTCGATCCTTCCATCTTTTCCCAGATGCTGAACGCCTACATTCGGCCTCATTCTGAGTACGCCATCCACGCTTGGCAGCCATGGCAGAAGCAAGACCTTACCGCTCTTGAACTGCCACAACGAAGGACGACCAAGAACGTAAAGGGCCTGTTTCATCTCCCTTACCGATTGAGGCTGAAAACCCTCGGGGTCTACAGTGGACAATATCGACGCCTGCGTGGCGACTTGATAATGACTTATATGATCCTGAGGAATCAAAACCATTGTTGTCGTCACTTACTAAAGCTGATTAGCAATACAACACTCAGAGGACACCATCTAAAGCTGGCCACACAATACAGCCGGTTGGAATGCCGCCGGAATTTCTTTTCCCTTCGTGTGTGCCAACACTGGAACGCTCTTCCCACATACGTTGTTTCTTCCCCCACGCTATCGCTATTCAAAAGACGTCTGGATGATTCGCTTATCCACCTACATTACGCTATATAATCAGAGATGTCCACGTTGAACAAACACGAAAAAACGGTGCTCATTCTCAGCTTTTGTGCTTCACTATTTACACACTGCTGTTGTGGAATATAGTTTCGGATGTATTACAACTGCATTCATCCATTTACCCCAGTCCAAGAAAGTGGCGCACGAGTAAGCGTTGGTCGTTTCTCTTGTTCTTAAGACATGCCTTACCCATTTTACTTCCCATACTACTCCACAGTAACAATTCAGTACATATTCTACAACGTTTCTATGAATAAGGGGCACTTGAATTCACTAGACGCTTAAACTGACGATATACACTTATGTTTGCTTTCACTTCAACCATCCTACGGGACTTATAAAGTAATCGCTTTTTTACCTGTAATATATCATTGTTCACATAGGATCGCTCCTCATCGCGACCAAACATGGAACCTATATAAGCCCTCGCACACTACCCGACGCATTCTCATGGAGGTTTCCCTACACTACGCTACTGGCTACACGCTACTCAACAACGCACTGATGATGTCACCTCCATTGGTGACGCAACTTTTGCGACAGATTTGCCAAGCCCATCGGACAGTTCGCCTGTCACCAGAACCATTTGTGCTACCAATTTTCGCTCTTATTCCAAATTCCACATCTCGCGATCTCGCCCAACTTGCTGCAGCCGAGGCGTATAATGCACGCTGAATAAACCGATCAGCGGGCATACGGAGGACAAAATCTGGCCAATGTAAACGGTTCATGGAGTTGTTGAATATTTGCATAGGGCAGTTAGGCTTTACGCTAAGTTCCCCTTCTCTGTCTATGAACTTCACACGATTTCTTGATGCTCTGGCTGTCGTAGAGGATATTGAACGGCGCCCTACCTGCTGCATCGAGCAGGATGGATAGGGATTTGTATGCTGCTGCACAAGCCTTCCCGTCTTCTTTCCACTCGCTTTTTCATCCATATCATTCAACTCCAACCACTTTTATCCCCGTCTTTAACCCTGTATTCCTTGGCCCTCCCCCATCTTGCTTCATTGGTCGCTTATCTTCTAGTTTCGATCTACATGCAATCGCAGGGCGTCGCTCCATTCCAGTCGACAAATCCATGTGCAACCAACTGGACAATTCGGTTCATCCTCGCTTAGACTGGAGTGCCTCAATCTGCGCCCTTTGTCGCAGATGGACCAACATGCAGTACTTGCCCGAACACTATGGACCCTATCGATCGACATCTGCTGCTTGTCGGAAACCCGCCTGCAAGGTGCGAGTTCCGTGATTACACTGCGACCCTCACAAACGACATTGACAACATGTTCTCATTGCGTTTGTCTAGAAATGACGCTGTTTCAAATACTGGTCAAGCCGGTGTGAGCATTGCTCTGAGTCCCCGGGCTGATGCTGCCTAGGTTTACTGGATCCCCATGAACAGCCAGATGTGTGCCGTCCGATTGGCTGGCTCGTACAGAGCTTCTAAGTCGCGCATAGATAAACGGTGCTTGTTTGTCATGCTGAATTACGCGCCCACAAATTGTAGCGCTGATTCGGTGAAAGATGAATTCTATCACCAGCTGAACCTGCTCCTTCGTCACCGAAATAGTATGGATACTGTTATCCTTGCTGGCGATTTGAACACCCAAGTTGGGAAACTGTCCACTGATGAGCTTCATCTGTGCGTTCGACACGGTGTAGGCTCCCGTAATGATAACGGTGAGTGGTTGTTACACCTGTTTGTAGCTGTTCGCCTCTTTCTCGCGAGCACTGGCTTCCGACAGCAACCGCAGAAGGTTAACATGGCCCCCACCCACGTCGAACCATCCGTGAACGCAAATCGACCACGTCGCGATCAGTTACCGCTGGAGAGGTTGTGTCCAAAACTGTCGCTTACTTTGGAGCACGAGCGTGAACTCTCAACACGCACTCGTTTGTGCCGATCTTACTGTTCGCTTCCGTGGCCGCACGCGGCGGTTGTGAGGGAATAGTACATGCCAGCTGGCGAAGTCAGAAGTCCTGAATATGTTTCAAAGTACGCTGGCATCCGGGCTGAATAAACGCTCTCCGAACACAGTAGAAGGTCATTGGTTTCATTTTCACCAGATGTTATTAGCAGCAGGCATGTCTTCATGTGGCAGATCAAATTACCAACGTGGACCTTACCGTGGTGCGATGGTTTGTGTGCCTCAGTGATTCATTGAGCTATGCTGGGTGGTGCTTTTGCACCTTCAGAGCCACTCGTACTAGATTGGTCAATGGTTAAAGGCCAGACAAACTTAGCCTCCTAGTCCTCCAGGTTGGGGGTTGGAATGTGGGTGGCATCTTATTCCTTAAAACGGACTCCTTGTAGCCCAACGCTAAACCCGCTGCCTTGCGGTCAGGTTTTTGAACCAAAGGCTTTGGTTGAGAACCCTAATCGTTCTCCTGTCTTGGCCTGGGCAACCTGACAGTATCCTGTCCACGCAATACAATGAATCTCTCTTCAAACACTCCTGATGCTCTGGCCACCGCAGAGGATAATCAACGGTGCCCTATCTGCTGCACCGAGCAGGGTGGATAGGGGTTTGGATGCTACTGCTTAAACCTTCCCATCTTCTTATTTCCTTCTTACACTTTTTCTCCCTTATAATCCTGTTCCAGTTTCACTTTTATCCTCTCAGTTTTCAAACCACCGATTCT